TGAAGTCCGTAGTATTGAGGCTTAGCAGTTTCCTTTCGTGCCCGCACTGTAGCGTCTAGATGTGCAAACTGTCGTCTGAGCCTTTATCTGTCTCCTCTTCCTTGACAGCCATAACTCCGCTGCGTATTCCTGAGGATGCTTGTTGAGCTCGAGACCTTGCGACTTTCTCATTCTGGCATTTGCGAGCTAGGTGACGGCGTCCACCGCAGCAAAACAATGAGCATTTTTCCAACGGCAGGCATTGCGATTGTGCCTGGACTGCCACAATGCTCACATTCAGCACATGCCTCTTTGCTCATGGATGACTGCTCTTTGATTTTTAGCACCACTGACACTTCTCCACCTATTCTTATTGGGCGTCACTATCTGCAGTTCTGCGGAGAGTGCCATTGTTTCAGCGTCCTCTAAAGTCAGATCTTTTTTTATCAGCATCTGTTTTGACTGCACTCGATGTGACGACACACATTATTCTATCCAGTAGCATACAGTCGAGCATGGTACCAAAATCATAGTTGTCCACAATGCAACAAATCTCGGTAATGAATTCTGAACAGACTTACCAACCAGCTGGCAACGGTTGCAAAAGCGGAAACTTTCTGTTATCTCATGGCGCTTGTGATCAAAGAACTTGTCCAAAGCTTCACCACTTCGTCGTACTTCAAAAATGAGGCTTCTTGGTTACTACTCTTTCTGCCTAATATCTGGACTGTGCAATTACTTAAGGCTGCTGCTAGAAACGCTCGTTTCTTGGCCGACTCCGTCACGCCCATGGTTCAAAGTATGCTTCACCCTTGAAAACATATGCCTTCCAGTTGTCCTCCTCCTCGTCGAAGTCAGGCAGCTGCTGGCGAGCCATAGCCGATTTGTCGCTCCGAGCGGTCACGTAGCTGTTGTCCTGCTTGAACCCAGGCGTCTCCTTTTCGTTTTTTGTCGCCACTGTTACATCGCTAGTAGAGCACTGTGCATTGGCGCAAGTGCGATAGACACAAGCTGTCAAGCTGGTATGAATGGGCGTTATTTTCCGTGTACATTGCCGTATAAAGACAAGGTAAAAAAAGAGAGAAGTGGAAACAAGGTAAGGGAAACACAAGATAGGAGCATTGGCTTCAGCTTAACCAAAAGTGATAAGCGTGACACTTCAATTCCACACGTTTTTTTGCACATTAACAAACTCAGTGTATTTGGTTGTTTTGTTATTGCTGTATTGTAATTTATTGCTTGTACTTTCTTACAATATTTTCGTACTTTCATCTTCTTTTAAGCATCAGGACGATGCCTTTTTCAGAGGGAGGCAATACCACGTTCCTTTTACAAGTTTTATTATCGCCCGGTTCCACTATGTTCAGCACAAACCGCACCTGTGGTGTCAGATAAGCTTCCAGGCTGTAGTAGATTGTTTTGTTAAGATTGCGCCCACTTCGTGAATCTCAGATTATTCTGGAACCTACGTCGCTAGTGATACGCTGGAATGTTCGATGAGAGGTGTACGAATCCCCACACGCTTTACCACTTGTCAGTTGATCGACAGCCGCTGCTCTGTTCGCTGCTATCAGGGCCTGTGCCCTGCTGTAATATGACGTTCTTTTTGCATGGCCACAAGTTCGACCTGAATAAACAGTTCGTTTCCAACCTGCAGTCTGCTCCCTTCGTCAACCGTCACGACGCCTGTGACAATACTTTCAACTATTATGACCAAATTCTCATGTGCATCAAAGATTTATTGCAATTTTACTAATCCATCTTATATGCATGTTACTGTTTGTCGAAGTTTCAGTGCCTTGCCGCTCTATAATGTTCTAAACAACTGTGATTATCTACTGTGGAACTAGTTTTGTATAATTCGCGTTCTCTTGTACAAGTACACAAGAGCTTACACCTCCTTTCCTTTCTAGGGGGAGATGATGTTGTGTAGGGCATTTCATTACGTCCCGATCAGTTTGTTTTGATGGGATGTGTCACATAGCGCCATGCAATGGAGATATTGTCACCCATTGTTACACACCAAGTGCTCTCTCAGAATAAACAGTCCCCTTCCGGTTCTTCGCCTAGCGTGAGGTTTTTCACAGCGCTCTGGCACTAACGCGCCCATTGTCTGCGTCGGACGATGCCCCTGCGGCGATACAACAGGTAGGCATTTGGTCGGGATGGTCGGTTAGAGTGAAACATCCAGGGTATCTTGGCATGGTTGGAGCAAGGGGACAAAGAAGGGTTGGCCTGCAGAAGGGTGGTCTGCTGGAAAAATGGCAGTTGCATGACCCTGTCCCACATGGTGTGGAACAGGGTCAGGAAATCGTTTTTAGCGAACTCAAGCTCACTCATAAAATTATACTTTGCCTTTGCTCACTCAGTCTTAGTTAGACTCACTAAAATTTTCCATACTCATTGGACTCAGACTTACTAAAATATTTCTCTTCAGACTCGTCAGACTCGCTGAATTGCAGACTCGCTGAATTTCGGTTAGTGGGATTCGCTCTTACTTGCGGCTAGATGTGAGTGAGCCCACTCAAGAGTGGGTTTTGCCATCTTATGCATTTCTCTAAAGCAGCATGCTTTTGATGCACATTTTTAAATCTGTCACATTGTAAAATGTTTTCTTGTTGTAAGTTATTGGTGGGCTCTGTTTGATATGCCTTTATGTGCAGCAACAAAGTATGAGATGTCATACCAGGAAGTCTGTATAGCTCCAGGCTAGCTTAAGTTAATTTCCTATGGGTATTTTAGTTTTTGCGACTTCAAAAGCATATGATTTTTTTTTTTACCATCATAAAATTATGTGCAAGCACCCGTCTTTCCAATGAAGTCGAAGTTGCCTGCAAAGTGGGGTGAGGGCCCCGCCACGGTGGTCTAGTGGCTAAGGTACTCGGCTGCTGACCCGCAGGTCGCGGGATCAAGGTCCCGGCTGTGGCGGGCTGAATTTCCGATGGAGGCGGAAAATGTTGTAGGCCGTGTACTCAGATTTGGGTGCACATTAAAGAACCCCAGGTGGTCGAAATTTCCGGAGCCATCCACTACGGCGTCTCGTAATCATATGGTGGTTTTGGGACGTTAAACCCCACGAATCAATCAAAGTGGGGTGAGGGCACTATGTTGGAATAACACCGAAATTTCTGATGGCGGAAAAAACTTTTGCACCAGCGAAGAAAAACACCAGTTAACATAAAATAAAATTTTAAAGTGAACTTTATGCCCAATATTTGTTTTAGCTTTTAATCACTATCAAAACCATTGAAAGACTCCTCCAAATCAGTTTTCAAAAAACAGGTCGCAGCATTCTGCTTGAACTCCGTCGCGGTTTCCTGGCACCACAGCTCCAACATCGGCCTGTCCGCTGTGCAGATCGCTGTTCTCAAGCCATCGAGCACTTTACTAACGCCGCATCTCTTGAAAGAGCATGCCACTGTCCCCTCAGGTACAGTGGCCCATGCCTCAGCAACGAAACCGAGCGCATGTTGCCGCGGCGGTTTCTTCAAGTCTCTTTTCGGTGTTTGCGCTTTCTCTTGTATTGCTCCCACAAACACCACAATGTGAACTTGAATGGCTTATTTAAATACACGTCAGCACGCTGCAGGATGCTTGTGCACCCTACAAGCACATAAAGCACGTCGGTGTTGTACTCCTTGCAGGCAGCCCCACCGCGGTGGTCTAGTGGCTAAGGTACTCAACTGCTGACCCGCACATCGTGGGATCGAATCGACTGCTTTTTCCAATTGAGACGGAAATGCTGTAGGCTTGTGTGCTCAGATTTGGGTGCATGTTAAAGAACGCCAGGCGGTCAAAATTTCCTGAGCCCTTCACTGCGCCGTCTCTCATAATCATATGGTGGTTTTGGGACGTTAAACTTCACATATCAATCATTCAATCCTTGCAGACATTTGTGGCGGTTTGTGTCTTATGGATGGGCACCTGGTACAACAGTAGCGTTGAATGTCGTCGACGTTTGGGTCCCAGACTCTCTACAGCCATTCTTGCATTTTCTCCAATGTCATCCAGCTGTTTTTCGTGGCGTGGAGACGAACATTTGCTGGGAATGAGAAAAACAGTCCGCACTGTGATAAAACAAACTGAACGACAATGTGACCCCTCACTCCCTTCAAAAAATAAGAATATTCTCACCTGGCATGCGAAAGCTTGCAAAATGAGAAAAGATAGCTCATGTGATCACAGCTCATGCACCTGTGCATGTAGACGGGATGTGAACAGCAACCAACAAGCAGGAAAAAGAAAAAGCAAGAGCGGAAAAACCTAAGGGACTTGTTTTTAGGTATCGAAGACATATTGAGAGCTAAGAAACAAGGACGCAAGAGAGACGACAACACAATGTTTTCGAGTTATGTTTACCAACATGCCCGAAAAAATGGCAATGTGTTTAGGTCATATGTGTAGAAAAAGTCGTGTATAGAAGGTTTCAGGATAGCTACAGCCGCGCCATGTTATACTGATGATACCAAGCTTTGTGTTGTCGAACGCTGATTCATGTTGGAAACGATGAATCGCAAGAAAGCTTTCGCTTCCTTTCGGTACTTAACATCTGCATAAACAAGGCAAGTTGGTGAATGACTTGAACTAGCAGCAATTTTTGTGTATGTAGATCTTCATGAATACTTGGTGTCAATATAGCTTTCATAGTATTGAAAGGTGATGGCAGACATCGTGCTTGAGAACTGCAAGCTGTACTCAAGTGTGGGTGTACTCAGTACTTGTGTAATGTGTTAATTGTCACATGGGACATTGTTCTGGTGAACACTTGTCTATTTTAGATTTGTTTTACTTTCATCTGCTGGTGTTCCAGCAAACTTGATTCGTGACTGCATGACTGACTGCATACATAGTGACAGGTGCGTTTTACTTCCTCTTTGCATTTTTATTGCACTGCATTGTCAGCACGAAATTGAACCCATCACAAAATGCTACCATTTGTGCAGGTGCACACATACTCACTTTCAGCCATGCCAAAAATGGTTAATATTTGGGTGTCCTTTATTATTTTTCTTTGTGGACAGTTTAAAGAGGACGTTATGAGGCGAACGGAGACTGCCAAATTGGCTCGTCGAGTTGGCCTGCCCAACAAATCACCCAAGCCAACCATTGAGATTTATCGGCCTCCTGGTGAGTGTATTTTCTTTTGTCAAGAAAAGATTTCAGTGCCATATCGGATCGAGGAAGGGATTATCGGCTACAACATGGATGCAATGATATGTGGCGGTTAGCATCTGTAGATCTTTTTAATCCCCACACAGCATCATGCTCTGATATCACACGCTGGTGGATAGTTACGTTATGTATGATTTTGTGCAGAGTGCATAAACGGCACTAAAGAACTGCAGGATTATTGTGGCAGTAACAATGCGAATTCTTTGCTTGTGTGTAAAAGAATGTGTAAATATTCTTTAGGTTTAAGTTTTCTTATTTTCTTTGGGAGATAGAGTATTAATGAGAACTAAAAGACAATAATACCAGGCAAACTATAGGGGATGCCATTAGAAGTAATTGTTAGGTAAATGTGAAGAAAGAAAAGTGGACTAAAAGATAACTGGCCACCTGCAGGATTCGAACCTGCGACCTTTGAATAAAGTGTCTGATGCCCTACCATTGAGCTTTGGTGGTGGTCATTCTTCTGTACATGTTGTTACGTGCCAGTGCATGGAGCTGAAGAAGACGAAGCAGATAGACTGGCACGAGCTAATCTGTGTGGCTGGTGCTGCTCGCCTAACCGGCTGTAAATACATCGGTGATCGATGACTACCCCTCTGAGTCAGTCTCCTTCCCGTAACATATTTGGTGGAGTTGTGCGATCCCCGTCCTCGCCACGGAACTCCGAAGCGGACGCTCCCTCGCAGCTAACAACATGACCACTCAAGACTCGGCTACATCCTCTCCGGTCGCTCCCCCTTCTGCCCGACCTGTCAACCCAGCGCCCGCAACAACTTTCGTGACGCTTCCCGCGCTCAAAGACCCCGGCGTGTTCTCGGGCAGCGAGGGTTCCGACGTCGACCAGTGGCTACGCCTCTACGAACGCGTCAGCGCCACTTACAGGTGGGATCCCACTCTTATGCTCGCAAACGTCATCTTTTATCTCGACGGAACCCCTCGTGTTTGGTTTGATAACCACGAGCATGACATAACAAGCTGGGACAGCTTCAAGGCAAAGATCCGTGAGCTTTTTGGCAACATCTCTGGTCGTCGTGAAGCTGCGAAAAATGAGTTGTCGACTCGCGCACAATTTTCCACGGAGTCCTGCATCGGTTATATTCAGGCTGTCCTTTCAGTATGCCGCCAAGCTGACGAAAATATGTCTGAACCTGAAAAAGTTGCCCATATCCCAAAGGGTATCGCCGACGATGCGTTCAACTTGTTGGTATTCAACAATGTGTCATCTGTTGATGCGATCATTCAAGAATGCCGCCGGTTCCATTAAGCTAAAAGCAGACGCATCTCCCATCAGTTCCAGCGCCTCCCGAACACCACTGCGAGGTCCTCGTGTCTCGACACATATCATCCACCAGACACCTGTGACAACTTGACGCGAATCGTCAGGCGGGAGCTTGAAGCGGCTGCTCCAGCTAAGGTGGGAAAAACGTCCCCTGACCCCTCTCCGCCAATTACGTTGCCTCTCATTCAAGCAGTCGTCCGGCAGGAAATAGCCAGCTTGGGAATTCACTCTATATCACCGCCTCCCCGCACCGACTACCAGCCCCGATACACGCCTGCACGTCCCTTCTCGACCGGCTCTCCCTCAACGTTCCGTAATCCGTCCGCATGGCGAACACACGATGACAAGCCGATATGCTTCTCGTGTCACAGAATCGGGCACATTTCTCGCCATTGCCGAAGTCGCTGGGGTCCTCCTGCACAACCGTCCTCTCGTCCCTTCTATGCACGTCCTGCCTATCGCCATGAGACCAGCCGCGACCATTTCGCTCAGGAACCTGCTTCTGAACACCGCTACTTCCGCTCTCCATCCCCCCAACGTCGCCAGTCTCGTTCTCCACAGCTCCGCCGACCATCTTCCCCCGCCTTCCCACAAGGTTCTCCGACGGAAAACTAAGCGTTGCAGCCCCCGGAGGTGGCGCTGCATCGCTCGGACTGACCGAAAATCCTCTTTGACGATACCGACAAAACGGAACCTCATAGACGTACAAGTAGACGGCGTACATGTCACTGCTCTTGTCGACACCGGCGCCCAACTTTCCGTGATGACGAGTGATTTTCGCCGCAAGCTCAAGAAGGTTCTCACACCTGCGACCACTCAGTTGTCCGTGTTGCGGATGGTGGAATAGCATCTATCGTTGGAATGTGCTCCGCTCGTGTGAGCATTGCGGATCGACACACAGTTGTTCTCTTCACCGTCCTTGATAAATGCCCCCACGACGTAATCTTAGGCCTCGACTTCCTATCCGCGCATTCTGCCCTCATAGACTGTTCGACCAGTACGCTTCGTCTACACTTGCCCGCAACAGAACCTCTTACACAACGGCCGAGTCGCCTCTGCACAACGGGACACGCGCGCCTCCCTCCACAGACACTGACCTACATAGAGCTCGTCTCAATACCACCAGTTCCCGACGGTGACTATGTTCTGACCCCTATCACCGATGTTCTCATAAGCCGTGGCATTACATTACCGCACACCATTCTGTCCGTTGCAGGAAATTCTACGAGCCTCCCAGTTGTCAACTTTAGCTTGACACCTCAAGTTTTGCCACAAGGGATCTCTTTGGCGTTTCTCTGCACCTTAGAAGACAATGCGGTAGATGTTTTCGCGATGACCGCCCCTTCTGACCCCCACGCTCAACATCAGTCTGCCACTTGCTCCGACAGCGCTATTACTTCGATGATCGCTTCCAACTTGAACGCCGCAGCAGACTGATGAGCTCCACCGGGTTCTGCTGTCCTACATCGACGTTTTTGACATCAGCGGCCGTCCGTTGGGGAAAGCTACCGGTATGAGCCACCGCATAAACACTGGTAATGAGCATCCTATTCATAGGCGTCCATATCGGGTGTCGGCGGCCGAGCGTCACATCATCTAAAGTGAGGTCGACAAAATGCTCGCCAAGGACATCATTGAGCCATCTTGCAGTCCTTGGGCTTCTCCTGTAGTGCTAGTCCGCAAGAAAGACGGTGCATGGTGTTTCTGTGTGGATTATCGACACCTAAACAAAATTACCAGAAAAGACGTCTATCCTCTGCCGCGAATAGATGATGCGCTTGATTGCCTCTATGGGTCCCACTATTTTTCCTCCATAGACCTTCGTTCCGGCTACTGGCAGATAGAGGTAGATGAAATGGACCGTGAAAAGACTGCATTCATCACCTCAGATGGCCTATATCAGTTCAAGGTCATGCCCTTCGGCCTTTGTAACGCTCCAGCTACCTTCGAACGAATGATGGACTCCCTGCTCAGAGGATTCAAATGGTCCACCTGTTGTGCTACTTGGACGACGTCATCGTCTTTTCACCAACATTTGAAACTCGCATAGAGCGCCTCTCAGCCACCCTGGGAATCTTCCGTCGTGCTGGCCTGCAGCTCAACTCGTCCAAATGTCACTTTGGACGCCATCAAATCACAGTGCTTGGCCATTCAGTAGACGCCAACGGTGTACAACCAGACCCGGCAAAAATCAGCGCCGTCAAAAACTTTCCTGTACCACGATCTGCGAAGGACGTACGCAGCTTTATCGGACTATGCTCCTACTTCCGACGCTTCGTGAAAAATTTTGCGCACATAGCGATGCCGCTTACGCAGCTCCTCAAGAAAGAAGTCCCGTTTTCATGGGGCTCCGAAGAGGCTTCTGCGTTCTCGCCTCTCGTCGCTCTTCTCACTACCCCTCCGATTCTGGCACACTTCAACCCTGCTGCCCCTACGGAAATCCGTACGGATGCAAGTGGGCATGGCATTGGTGCAGTGCTGGCTCAGAAACAACATGGCCATGATTGCGTTATTGCATATGCCAGCCGCCTCCTATCCGCCCCTGAACGTAACTATTCGATAACAGAGCGTGAGTGCTTGGCTCTTGTATGGGCGGCGGCGAAATTTCGACCTTATCTATACGGACGCCCATTTTCGGTAGTTACCGACCACCACGCACTCTGCTGGCTGAACTCTCTGAAAGATCCATCAGGCCGTCTTGGTCGCTGGGCTTTGCACCTGCAAGAGTTTTTCTATTCGGTGGTCTACAAATCTGGCCACCTACACCGTAATGCCGATTGCCTCTCCCGGTACCCTGTCGACGATCCTGAGGACACTGACGAGCCCACGGAGAACTCTATCTTGTCAGTGTCCGACTTCCTTAATATTGAGGAAGAACAGAGGCGTGATCCAGAGCTGCTTGACATCATCAGCCGTATGGAATCCTCCACAAATGATGCTTCCGTCCGCTACTTTGTCATTCAAAAGGGTGTGCTATACCGTCGCAATTTCCGACTAGACGGGCCCAACCTTCTCATTGTTGTGCCTAAGCATTTGCGCCGCTGTGTTCTCACCGAACTTCACGACGCTGCCACGGCTGGACACCTTGGCGTATCCCGCACGTACGAGCGCGTCCGGCGCCGTTTTTTCTGGCCAGGCCTTGATCGTTCGGTACGCCGATACGTCGCCACATGTGACCTATGCCAACGTCGTAACACACCGTCGCTGCTACCCGCTGGCCATCTTCAACCAATTGACATACCCGCAGAACCATTTTACCGTGTTGGGTTAGACCTGCTTGGTCCTTTTTCCACATCAACATTGGGAAACAAATGGATAGCCGTTATGACAGACTACGCTACACGCTATGCTATTACGTGAGCTATACCGATCAGCTGTGCAACCGACGTCGCTGACTTCTTGTTACGGGACGTTATATTGATTCACGGTGCGCCGAGACAGCTTCTCACAGACCGTGGCCAAACATTTCTATCCCAAGTCATCGCCGACATTCTGCGTTCTTGTTCCACGCAACACACTCTGACAACCGCTTACCACCCTCAAACAAACGGCCTTACGGAACGATTTAACTGCACTTTAACAAATATGCTCGCTATGTACGTGTCGCCTGACCACCGAGACTGGGACCTGCCTTACCCTACGCAACTTTCGCGTATAATTCATCCAGTCACGACACAGCGGGCTTTTCCCCGTTCTACTTATTGTACGGAAGAGACCAGACTTTACTACTGGACAGAGTCATCTCAGCTCACACCTCGTCCACCAGCGAGTATGCCTGCGACGCGATTGCGCGAGCCGATCATGCACGTCGGCTCGCTTGCGCTCGGCTGATGGCGTCGCAAACCAACCAATGCTGTCGGTTCGATGCGGAACATAGAGACGTACATTTCGCTCCCGGTACCCTCGTTTTACTCTGGTCCCCTCATCGTCGGCTGGGCCTATCCGAAAAACTTCTGTCTCAATACACGGGACCCTACCGTATATTGCGTCAAGTAACACCTGTCACCTACGAGATCAGCCCCATCTGTCCATCATCATCTACTGACATCATCAGCCGTATGTCTCCTCTTGATATCGCCCAGTGATATCGTACACATCTCGTGGATCAAGCCCTACAATAATGCGTCAGATAACGACCTTTAAAGCACTTGGACGGTGCCTCCGCCGCCGGGGGTCATGCTACGTGCCAGTGCATTGAGCTGAAGAAGCCGAAGCAGATAGACTAGCACGAGCTAATCTGTGTGGCGGGCGCTGCTCGCCTAACCGGCTGTAAATCGCAAATCTTTTTTCCCTGATGTTATAGAAGCGTGGAATAAATTGCCGCGACATATTGTTGAAAATTCTGACGTTAAAAAATTTGAATGTGCTCTTGATGTTTACTTTGCCGAGCAATGAATATGCTATTGTGTTATTGTTCAAAGTGCTGAAAATATCAATGTCTATTTACTTTCCATATCCTATGCTTCCCTCCCTGTAATGACCCTCAAGTGAGGGTTGACAGTATAAATAAATAAATAAATAAATAAATAAATAAATAAATAAATAAATAAATAAATAAAAATAAAATACATCGGTGATTGGTGACTACCCCTCTGAGTCAGTCTCCTTCCCATAACAGTATCGAAGGGTGTATATATATATATGTGGGAGCTTCAGTAAGTGTCGTCAAGTGCCATTACGGCGAATGTGGAACCCTCTTTTCTTGCCTGTTTGGCATCACATAGTATGTGACATTATCATGAGATGGCAGCTGATCAATAATACCTCGCATACCATCTCAAGGCATCAAGTCATTTAGAACGAGACCCTCACTATGATTAAAAGAAAGTGTAAATATAAGAGCCCATTTTTTTCTGCTAGATGCAATATTAATGAGAAGTAAGAGACTGTAATACCAGAGAAATTATAGGGGATGTTATTAAGAGTAATTATCATGTAAATGGGAAGGAAGAAAAGTGAACAAATTGATAACTTGCCACCGGTACGATCCAAACCTGCGACCTTCTTTTTTCACATATACATTATAATTGCTTCTAATAACATCCCCTATGTGGTCTTTGGCATTATTGTCTGTTAGTTCTCAATGATATTGGTTGAGTATAGTATCATGCCACCGGTTTTCAAAAGGTTGGACATTTTCTAACAGATTTAAACAAAACTGCTGTATTTTCAACAGTCTAAGAGAACAAAGCCTTGCAATAGGTAGCAAGGCACTGGAAGGGGTGAACAGACAAGTAGTGACTGCACATCCGAACCACGAAACTAGGAAAGTAAGAATGGGGTGCAGTGTAGGCATTCTCAGCTCATAAATTGTAGTTTGCCGATGTCCTGCAAAAAAAGGTTACAACAGCTGCATGTTGCCAGCACATATCTGCTGGGCAAAGACCTGGAGGCTAATGAAAAAAATTTAACTTCAGTTGAGGATGACAAAGTGAGCCATAAAAAGAAAATGAGAGCAGATAGTGTCAAACAAATGCCTGTTAAGGACATTTTAGTTCAAACTAAAATGAAACGGTTATAGGCAGAGAGAATAACAGAGAATAATATAGGCGAGAAGGGAGAATAACCGCTGTTCAATTAAGATGAATGTTCTGCATGACAGGAGAAGACAGTACTCGACAGGGAGCCAGAAAGATAGGTGGCCATTATTACTTATTTATTTATTCATCATACCCTACAGGGCCCAGTAAAGCCCTGACTAAAAAAGTACTGAGATTAAAGGAGTATTGACCAAACTTTTTATGGCGAGATGGCGAGATAACTTAATTGTGGGGTATGTTTGTGTGGACAAAAAATGTCTGTTCTACAAAATATCAACAGTTAATATAGTCTGGAACATATTTAAAATCAAATTAATGATATGTCTTGCATAAATTCACTAAAAACACATCATCTCATGACATAGACACCAACTTAATCTTAATTTAAAGAACCAAATTCCATCAGCAACATGAGTTTGTGTTGCTATTTGCTATGATCTTTGTGAGTCGTCTCTTCTAGCAGACCTTTTCAACGAGGACACTTCTTTTTATGAATTTGTAGAGTACCGGGAAATGCCAAGCGAGCACACCCACCCGAGCAAGTGGCTCTCTCCCAAATCTCTTTAGAGTATCCTTCCCCATAGGAGGCGCTTGCTCGGCGTTTTGCGGTAATAAAAGGCTGACACCCTTACCTTGACATTGCATTTTTTTTATGGGGGGGGAGGGGGGTAACACATTTTTACAACAGCCTGGAAGCGATTACAGTAGCTCCCAGGGAACTCACATTTAAAAGGAGGAAAGAAATAAGCTAAAGGACAGGGAGGTTAGGCATTGAAAAGAGTTGCCCATGTGGTGTGCACGTGAACACGGTTTCGTCGGCTTTCGTCGCCAGCTATATTTATATGAAAATCATTCTAGGTGCTTCTTCACTTGGCACTCTTTAAACACAAAACTGGGACAGTGTCCTTAAATGATTAACTGTCACACGATCGTGGAAACAAGATTTCCAGTTGGGATTAGAGAGTATTTAGTGTGGCAGAAAAAAACTAGAAGAAAAATTTTTGTGTCAGTTCTTTATAAGACATTTGCGGGGATAACGTGATGGCAGCAAGCACAGGACCAGGCCATGGGCATCGGCAGGGGGTTGAAAAGGGGCACTTGCCCCATCAAGCCTCATTATCAACACTGGCCCTCACCCAAGCTGTATCAGGGCTTGCCTCTTTACCCAGCCGCGATGAAACACTGGTTTGCACGTCCCAAGAAAAAATGCTGCCAATAAGCATAGACCAGGGTAATTGTTAAACATGGGAGAAATGTTTGCCTTGCAGTGGCTCAATTAGGCTAATATTTATTTTTTGCTTTATGCATGAAACAGAATTTGGGCATTGGTGTCTGCAACTACAACCCTCTCTTTTTCTTTTATCTCTGACACTTTGCCACATCTTGGCCGTCTTCTCTTCTATCCGGATGCCTTCCATACCTTTGGCTGTGGAACCTCAGGCGTGAGGGTTTCTGGTGAGAAGTTATATCTCTTTACTTTTTCGCTCTCTTACAACTAACAACATATTTACATGACTGCTAGCTAAAGACATCAAATTTAAGAAATGAAAACAAGTTTGTCAATACCCGAGCAAATATTTGAAGGGAGACCAAAAGAAAATGTCAAACCGACGTCGACTTATCTGGTATTGCTTGTTTTGTGCCAGGTAAGCACCTAATGTGGGAGAAAATCATGTTTTTGGGGCCTGCATGGCATTTGTGCTATTCGAGCCGCTCACCTACACAAGCATTCCCCAAAGGGTGACCCACCAGGTCCCATACCAAATATTAGACTGTGGAAGTTGTTAGGTGGCCGATGAGGAACATATTGCCACATAAATTTTTTTCCAGTCGGTTTATTAGGAGCTGAGAAAACCGTTTTTTTTGAAGCGGCGCGTATTTAGGACGAGAGGAGGCGAGCTCAGCTCAAATCCCTTGTCGCTCCTTCCCGTATTCTTCGCAAGCCAAATCTCTTCCCTACCCTCTCCGGCATCGGACCAAGAGGTCGCGTGCGTATGACTTGCCTGAACAAGCCCAATTCTGTCCAAGCAAGCATGCTTTTTATTTTTTGGTTGACCAGCGTTGTTTATTGCCTGTTTCTGCAGGATGGTTTGAAAACGCTGGCTTGATGGCAGTAGAATAGATAAGCACAATGAGTTCGCGAACACGTAGAAGCGTTCCACGATTGTTGTCTGCTCGATGCGCTGACCGCGGGGACAGAAACACATGCGAAACGCCAACACATTAGCGCCGCATTTCGTTTCAATTCATGGGAGAAAAATGGAAAAAAGACTCTCACATTCCCTTATTACGTCTCATTATTTATCTAGAGTTTTATTTATCTCTTCAAGAAACAAATTACATAAACTACGCATGTCAGGTTAAATAGTTTTTGCCATGTCGCGTGCCACTGTAGGAAATCTCAGAGCACAGTGGTCTACGTAGAGGACCAAGGTCCCTGCACTGTCGTGTATGTAGAGCCATTCATTCGTGTACGTCATGCCTTCATTCTCAGGGCGTGCGCCCACCAATGGAAGGAGGAGCAGCGTTCATCTTGAAATTTGACCCATTTTCACGGCGCATAGCATTGCAAATTTTAGCAGACGTCATCGTGAACACCTCATCTACACATTGTGCTTGTCAGCTCAAAATTGTCAAATTTGGTGAGGGGCACTTTAATGGGTACTAGGCTAGTGCTTTGTTCTCTGGCAGTTGCGCCTTCATCATAAATGCATGGCAGAATACTATGCTTATTTTCTTATACTTCGTTGTTTTTCACAGATGGCATAACTCAGTTAAAGTTCTTGATTTTTGGGCATTGCTGTGTTATGTCACAGTTGCACGTGATGTCACTGCCAAAGTACGGCCACCCTATGTGCGTGTGTGTGTGTTTATGCGTAACTGGTGAGATTCAGTGACTCTCCATTTATGCTGCTGTTATTGTGTCATTGAAATGAGACACTCAACCATACTATAAAATCTGCGTACGCACTCTTCGCTTGTGCGGTTCACCATTTGACCAATGTTTATTCTGCCCAGCAGTTGTGCTGAAGGCGCCCGACCACTGAGTTTGCTTGGAGGCACAAGGAGGGCCACGAGAATGGTATTGTGATGCAGCGCTGAAAGAGCACGAAAGAAAAAGGAAGAACAGCAATTGGTTCGAGGGATTGCTGACCAGCAGTGTGCGAAAGTTCCTTGTGTTTTCTCCAGCACTTCACATTGTCAATAAACCCATCACATTCCTAACAGCTTTGTTGGAGGTGCTAGATAATCTGATGCTCTGGACAATGCAGTCACAGTAAACCATTGAATAAGCAGACCAATTTACCCTCAGAAAACCTCAACATGACCTACGCTGAAGCAGGGATGCTGATGGACAATGCCGCTGCATCAATTAGTGCCATGGCCTTGGACCAAGCTGGCCACACACAAAGATGACGTTATGACTGGACGCCTGAACCACGCAAGTTCTCAAGTAAAACAGATGAAGTGGAGGTGTGGCTGGTACACTTTAAGAAAGTGAGATATCCTGAGTAGAGTATGCCTGTTAAACCCGTGAACGTAGCATTCTCACTAGAAGTATCGCGCTGCTTTGGTTCAAGAATTGTACTCACCACTTGGGAAATGATCACCATTTGGGAAAAATTTGTTTGAGAATTGAAGGCTTGCTTTGGGGACATGAGTTCATAGGGAAAGAAAGCTAAGCAAATGCTTTCTTGTAAAGCTCATGTTGCCCGGCACTCCTTCTTAATTTAGGCAGCCTACAAGAGTACCAATATAGGCTTGTTGGTTCGTCATAAACTGGCTTGTGGCATAACACAGAAACAAACTGGGACAAAGAAGTACAGAAAGAGCACAAGCGCTTGGGTTCATCCTGTATTTCTGTGCTATGCTACAAGCCAGTTCAGGCAGCAGTGTTGCACATTCAAGACTCTCAAGACCCGGAGCATTCTGGCCAATTTCAGGCACTTGGACATTGTCTCCACCATTGCAAGTATGGACATTGGCCCTTGCAAAGAAATTCTCTTGATTGTCCATCAGGTAGATTGAGAGGAGTTAGGACAGAAGAGATCATGTTAGAGCATTGCGTCGAGTGTGAACTGCAAAGTGAAGAGGCATATTTGAGAGTCTCTATCCACAGATTATGTTCACTGCTAGATATCATCACCCTGGTGGGTTACCATGGAGTACCACACAACACCAACAGGCATATTCTAGGAAACTACTCTCGGGCGTCATGACGTGTTTCGTGGAGCACTAGCCAACTTCACATACCTCTACTCCCACTTATGTAAACTGAGAACTACCTGCTTGCTACTCATGCAGCCTCCGAAGGCATATTTATCACTTCTGCTGCCACAAGCCACAAGCACCGTGCTTTTTGACCCACCCCACTTGTGTGCAAAAACGGCAACTTTTACACCTGTCATCCACCCTCTAAGCAGGAGTGGCCCAGCAGATTTTGCAACTTTTTTCAGCCTCTGACACAATCACACTGCTTGCCATCTCTGCTTCATCGGCCGCCTTCCCCACATGAGCTGGGAAACTAGCTGATATGACCGATATAGGTGCTGTCATTGGATGGGCAAATTGTCCTTCTGCTGCGATGATAAAAAAAAGTGCGTGCGTGTGTGTGCGTAGATGCCGTAAATGCTATTGCTCTTGTAGACACTGGTACGGGTATTTTAGTGACGGGTCTTCATTTTAAAAATTGTTTTTTACAGCAGTGCGTGCGTGTCTCTTGGCGTCCTTGTCATGGGGCGCTAAAGCCATATGAATGACTGTTTATTATCATATGTGCCCCCCCCAGTAAAAAAAAACTATTTCTTTACTGGGAAAGGGGGGGCACACCTATGACAAGTGAATTCCTTCAGGGGGCAGGGAGGCTGGGAACGAATGCATTGTGTTTTGACTATGCTTGCTGCTTGCTCTTTGGGGGGGGGGGGTCAAAGGAGGGGTCGCCCCCATCTTATACCCCCTGCTGGTGCACCGCACAGCTTTTTGTGAAGTGTGTGTGAATTCTCTGGTGCGACCTCAGTGGCATCAGTTGCACTGGTTAGTTCCAGAGGTGGGGCGGTGGCAGCGCTGCCAAGGTGGAAGTGTTAAGGCTATGGTCTTATTTGGGAGAGGCACCATGCCAGTTCTCTTGTCATTGAGTAGGCACATCGGATATTGGTAGGTAGACGAAGGTCCCGCTATAACTGTTGCTACTACATGGAAATTTGGACGATTCTATCATGATGCTGTTGAAAATTTGATAAACGCAGCCAGCCAGTTGTTGCAATGTTAGCCCAAATGCAGCCCCCCACGCGGCGCTGAATAGTTAGTGTTGAGCTGTGCAATCATGGCACAGTGGTGGGTGGCCGTTTTGGAAAAAATAAACACAGAGTTCGTTGCTGGGCAAAGGGGTTCAGCATGTTCTCATGTTCTTTGCGGGCCTGATGGCCCACTGTTCACGTTAATCACTACCACCCAGCCATCTGTAATCTACACATGTAACAACTGGCGACAAGGATGAAGGGAAGTTTCATGTAAGTCTTCGTTCTCGCACCGCTCGCTGTCATCTGTTCACCATGCCAAGTTTTGGCAATCTCGAGCCGTTCGAGGGGGGGAGGAGACGACTGGCCCTGTTACCTGGACGGCTTCAAGCATTTTTCCTGGCGAATGATGTCGCCCCAGACAAGCGTACTGCATGTTCATCAGCTGCTGCGGGCAGAAAACGTATGCTTTGCTCCGCAATTTTGGTCAGCTCGCAAGCCCAGTGACAAGACACTGGACGAGATTCTTCAACTTCTTGGAAGCCATTACTGTTCGAAGCCCTCTGCCGTCGTGCAGCGTTTCGTTTCAACTCGCGCGTTCGCGTGGAAAGGGAATCCGTCAGCAATTTCATCGCAGGCAATAAAAATTTCATAAATTATACCGCAGCACTTCAACTTCGGTGCTTAAGGGGAGACGCGGGTCGAAAAGTCGCGGTTTCCGGAAAATTTTCGCTTTTTTTTTCCGGCTGTATTGGGATCCTTGGACTATAATCTATTACTTCTGAAAATATCAAGCTGAAGTTCGCACGAGAAATTATCAAAAAATGCTTCCAAGTGGGCAGCGGTGACGCGAGAAATGCGCGAAAGTGGCGAAAAACGGCGAAGTTCGCGTCGTCCTGTCGCGAAACGACGCGTTGGCTGCCATTTGCAATCGTGCACGTATGCTGCGAAGGCCGTATCCTTCATAATCCACTAGTAGCCAGTCTCGTGCCTTCACGCAGAATAAACAAAAAACGAGAAAAAACACGCGTACGTCACGCGTTTGAATATCGCGGCACACAGCGTGAGGCCGCCATTGGACGGCGGTGCGCTCCACGCTCCTCCCCCTCCTATCTCTCCGGCAAAAGAGCGAAGCCTCGGACGTCGCGATCGAGTTTTCTGCGTTTCTCTGCATTTTTGCGTCATGGCAAGCCCGAAGAAGTGCAGTTCAGATAATCG